ATCAAAATTGAATCAGAGATGTTTTTACGTCTTGGTGTACATTTTTGTTGTATATTCTGTAATTTGCTGTTGGTAATTGCACAGGGAAAAATGACCAAAGGATGAGAGAAGTAAAAGCATCACATGGCAAAGAACCGGTAGAAGAATGTCAAGCAAAACATGATTTTCTTTCTTTCTTCTGTCTGTTTTCAGTCTGTGGTTTTCAGTTGGTTTCCCCTGCAATGGCTTACCCTGTTCTTGTCAAACACCATGTGGCACTCTGAGAGTAAGATGAGTTTGCACGAGTGTGTTTTTCTTTGAAAACCAATCAGACCCACCTCGCCTCCCATTTCATCTGCAGCCTTTATTAGAAAGACCACCTGGTTTAGTCACTTCAAAGCTTTGGCAGATTCAGGATGCTGACATAAGCGATGATGCGTTGTGCATAAAGCATGTGTGAGCGTGCATGTGTACGTGTGACACAATTTCAGTGATGAAGAACAGGCCTCCGGGAAAATGTTGGGAAATAACAGCTATAACCACTATGGGTATGTCTGATACAGCACAGGCACATGTGGAAAAATGGATAAAACAGGCATCTGTGCACACAATTCCATACCAGTAATGTTGGCTGTTGTATTTCACATCATTTAAGTGGGCGGGTTGATTCATGTTTAAGCTACAAAGGCGTAATTTACTCAGAAGTGGAAGATCAGTGGGAATACAACTGTACAAACATAGTCAAGCACTCACAAAAWGAAAAGACACGCTGTATATTTTATCAAGGAAGCAAAAATCCCCATATGATGGTTCGAATAAAACTTGAGAAACCTACAAAATGTCAAGTTGTATAACATAATGTGCATGACTCAAAAGCAAAAAAWTTTCCTAAACCTAATCAAGACATTTTAAATGCCAAACCCTAACAATCAACTCTAGTGCTTAAGCTTTAATCCAAATGAGAATTAAAAAACAATGTGAAGTTGATTATTAAACTGAACAAATGTGCAGTACCAGAACAACCAATCACCAAAAACAATCAAACATGTTCAAGGTGCTGTAGTATCATTTAAAATAAAAGTCACATTATTCCCGAAACTCTCTAATTTTCCATCATAAACAAACAAACAGCTTAATTTTTTTTACCGGAATTGATTGATTTTTTTAGATTTAAGTAGGAGTCAGAAAGCTGAAGTGAAATATGATGAGGATAGTTAAATTGAATAAAATGTACTGAATTGTGCAGTTTTTAGCTTCCATTGTTTTAAAGTGGTTGCTATAAACAGATCAGTTTTGATATAAGTGGAACCTGCTGTTTTTTTAATATCAAATTATAATATTATTATAAAATGGTAAAAAATCCTATGCCTGTCTGTTCCTTACAACATTTTATCCCATCAGCTTAAATTACAGCTGGTGTGTTGCCATCATTCTGATGAGTGGTGGTTTCCTTTCTGAGAACCACTGGGAAATTTAAAAAAAAAAAGGAAGAAAGAAAAAAAAAAGTAAAGCCCCATAATAAATCCAAAGCAGAGGTCAAAAATRTTGTCATTGATCAAAATCTATTTTCTACAATAAATTTCCAGACTAGGCAAGACTAAAAACCTTGTCTTCCACGCGCTCCTGTTGGGAATGTTTACTGACTCTGCAATGTCTGTAAAGTGTTGACAGCAAGCTCTGCACATTGCTGTTTTCAGAATTTGAATCAGTTTAGCAACATTTTAATTGAAGCAGAAAGACTTAACATCTACAAAAGTACTTTCTGATAGTAGAAAATATAATTTTGGTCTGTTAGAGTATGGATTGAAAACACAGATGTTCATTTAAGTTCCTCAGCAACTTTTCTTTTCTTTAGTTTCTACTTTTAAATGTAAATAAAATTATTGTGTCTTTACACTTGTGTTTGTTGATCGCTTAAAATAGCAAGCACTGAAAGGTGTATGTGCTACTTACTCTTAAGAAACTATCAAGGGACCCATTCTCCATGTACTCTGTGACGATCATGACAGGCTTACCTGAAAACAAAACAAAAACAAATAAATAAATAAAATAAATATAAAAAGTTATGATATAATTCAAGTTTCAGATTTATTCTTGGAAATGGAGAACAGTCCTATCTTGTCAGGTGTGTGTGGTGCCCTCATTGAGAGCAAAAATACAGATTTTTGATTGGAACAAGTTTTGTTTTTATTTGTTTTATTTAACTCCATATTTWCACACCCGCACAAGCATGGAGATGATCTTTGCCATGGTTTAATGGTTTTACCAGGTCACCTGTCAAAATGTGACATCTTTATTCCTGTGAAAAATCTGACTGTAAATCTACGCTGTCTGCATCATCTGTATCTGATTAGACAACGGCCAACAAAAGGGTCAGTGCAGGAAATGGAAAAGGGAAAGGAAAAAAAGACAACTTTAAATCACTCATTGTTGAATGAAGAGAGTCAGAGTCTTGTTTGTGTCCCAGATGGCTTCGGCCTCAATGCTTCACTCTTGACTTCACACTGGCCGTGCGCTTCTTCTCCATTTCCAAACTGATTAATGTGCCCTCCTTCTTCCTCTCCCCTGCCCCCTTTTATTTTTTGACCTACCTTTACTTTGTTACCTCATCTCTCATTCTCCTCTCTGGCCCTCTTGTACATAATAATCAGAGAGTATCTTCCACATCTGTTCTTGTTGTTCTTTTATTTTCCAATTTATTAATTCATAAAACATCTTAGATAGTAAGATGGGATTACTGGTTAAAACTAACATATCTATATTAAGTCTATATCAGTCGTTAGATGGCCTAGATCACAGATTATTAATCTATGAGCCGCGGCCCAATTGTGGGCCACCTTAAGAACCTCAAAAGAACAACACTTTTTAACTTTGGGCCGCAGAGGGCCGCGGGACCACATTGATTTTGAACAAGGTGCAATACACTTTCTCACCACTAGTAGCGGTAGTGCACCTCTCAGTTGTTTAACAATTTTTTTAATATGTAGAGAAAGAACCTTAGAAACCTGCCGAAAATGGAAACTTAGGCTGTGTCCAAAACGACGGGCCGGGTCCTCCGGAGGACCCAGACTCCCCGG